TCACAAAAAACGACTTGCATTCTCCAAAATGGGATTAAAATAAGGTTAACATAATATCCCAGAAGAGGAAATTACCAAAATACTGGAGTTTTATGTCTGACAAGCCAAAACACGGGAATCGGTTACCAAAATACGGGAGTCGGTTCTGACAAGGTTGGATCAATTTTTTTAAATTCCAAGTATAAAAAAATGGCAATTTTGAGCAACTATTTAAAAATCTAAAATAAATACTTATGTTTTAAAAATTTTATTCGGATAGGTCATACATCACCCGCTTAATTTGAAATTTTTTTACTTAGGGCTGGGCACGGGCCGGGTTGGGGCGGGTAATGCAAAATAAAATTGAACCGCCGGTTCCATTGTACGGTTCGATCCGGTCCGGATATTGCAATTTTCAAAATAGGAACCGGACCTTACCTAGCCCGTTTGAAACGGGTCGGCCCGGTCTGGGTTTTACGGTTTCGATTCCTGTGTCTTAAAATTAGTAAAAACTCACGAAGTTCCAAAAATAAGTAATCAATAATATAGGACATTAGCAAGTTTGAAAATAACAATAGTGGTGCATATGTAACACAAGTGACAAGTCCAATACTCCATAATTTCATGTATCTAAATTCCAAACAATTAAAGAAGTTCCAAAATTAGATTAATTTGTGGAAAATTGCCAAAACATAAGAACTTGGTATATGTTGCGTCTAGACTGTGCATCTAGATTACTTGCAGGGTAACTTGTGTTTAGCAATAGGGATGAATTAAAAAATAAAATAAAGTAATCAATGTTTTTTTATTTATTCATTTTAAATAAATTGCACGGTATGTATTACTTCAATTCCAAAAAAATGACTTTTTTTAATTAAAAAAATCATTCAAAGGGATGGTGCCAATTCGGAATTTAAAGCATTTTATTAAAAAATCCGAACTTTTTTCAGCCCCTTTTTTCAAATCACTTCATTACAAATAAAACTGAATTTAAAAAATAAAATATACACCTTGTCGAATTGGTGTATCCGACCACTAGCCCAACCTTTTCTTTTTTAAATCCCTAACTCTAGTCCGAAGAGCCAATTCCGACTCCCGCTTTTTTGGAGATGTTGAGGATTCCCATATTTTGGTAAATCACCCATCCCAGAATCCACATGACACATACTACGAACTTCGTAATTCGTATATGCAACAAGATTTTATCAGGCCACGATGATATAAAATATTGCGTATTTATAACTACTCAAATTAACAGAGTACCATATATATTTTGCCATTTGGATGCCACCAAGCCCCATGAGAACATATGTTGGAAGAAACCGTTGGCTGGGAGAAAGAACAGTACAGAAAACCGGCAGTAAGTCCACGACAACCACCAAGACAGTCACGAAGCAAGGACACACGTATGCGACGACTTTTCGTCCATCCTCATCTCAGCCGAAGGCTATGAGGCACTCCACAACTGGCTTTTCCTTTTCTCACCGGCAATTTGGTGGGGTGATTTCCCAATATACGGGAAAAGTTAACATTCGTTGCCAAATTACGAGAAAAAAGCTAGGTTTTCCAAAAAAGGGGAGTCGGATTTGGGTGTTCCCACCAGAGTTAGGGTTTTATTTTTTCTATTTTAAATCCTTGTCGGATTTGGGTGTTCCGACCATAGGTGGGCTAGCTTTTTGTTTTAATGTCAATTACGATTTTAAAGTGTCACTTTATTTATTTGTTTGTATTTTTTAAAAGTTATTTATTTCTACAACTCCGTACTAAATTATAAAAGTAATCATCCTTATTGTGAAATAAATTCATAAAATGAAATATAAATTTGATTTTTTTAAAATGCAATATATGTAATTTAATGGAAGTGAACATGCCAAATGTAGTTTTTAATGTAATTCCATTAATAAATTTGTACATACAATAATAAATTTAATTCTACATCTAACGTTGCGTGCTCGGCCCTGACATGTCCTCGCCATGTCGGGGTGTAGCCTGTCGCCGGCACAACGTGAGAAGGGTTCCCGACACATGACATCCTTTGTTTTTCGTAGTACAGCGTGTATACACTATTATGTCAGTCCGCCCACCTTGTCAAGACAGATGTTGATACGACGGAACGACTAGTATGATGATCATTACCGGTAAAATATATGGTACAGCCGGCTGTACCATGAGCATGGTACAGCCGGCATTTTTGTAAATAGCTTCAATTCTAAGGGCTACAGTTAGTTGGTTCACTGTTCGTTGTTTTTTCCGCCGGCATGCCTACGGTGCGTCGGTGCCTGCTCGTTGGTTTTTCTTCAGTTTCTGCTATCTTTCTTCTTTTCTTTGTTTCCTCGTTTTTCGTGCTTGCTTGTTTGACTTTTCTTTCTTTTGTCCTTTTGCTTTTATTTTGTTTACGTTTTGGTTTTTTCTTTAACAATCTTTTATTTTAATTATCATTAAAATATATATATATTAGTATATATTGTATAAAATATATTGTATAAAATACTACGTATTATTTAATGTTTGAGTATCACCCAAAAAAATGTTTGAGTTTGTTTATATTCTTTTTCGATCACCCTTCTAACTTAATTTTTTTAAAATTTGTGCATTAAAAATATTTTAGGTATTAATGTTTATTTTTCTATTTTTAATTTTAAGATGAATATTCATTAGTTTATTAAATATTGTGTGTTATTACTAACATGAGTTTTGTGTTATACTAAAATGAGTATAGTATAAAATAAATGTGCATGAGTAAATATTATAAGAACAACACGGTTATATTTTCCATTCAAGAAAAAAATTTATAAATTATTTTTAATATAACACGTTTAGGTTTCTCATTGTTATATACTTCGTATAATGAGAGTTTATTAAATCGTTAATAACGCATATACTAGATGTACACATTATAGAAAAGAGTTTATGTTATATTCGAATGAGTATATCGATTAAAAGAAATGAGCATACACAAATGAATATTAGAACACAATAGAGAATTCAATTGAACTTTTGAACATTTCGATGCTCATTTTTTAAATTAAATATGTTCATCTGGTATTGATGTTATGCTCATTATAAAATGTCATATCAATACATATTTTAAAACTTCCATATTACATTAGATTTCCATGAGATCGAGTTGATTATTATAATTAATTACATACTTCTAATATTCAATAGAAAAAGTTAGATGCTCAATGAAAATGTCTTGGTGATCAATTAACAAAGTTTATTATTTTCATACCAATGCTCATTTTATATGTTACATATATATATATGCTCAATTGGTACCGATATTATGCTCATTTTTAAAATGTCATAACAATGCATATTTCAAAAGTATCATATTACATTAGACTCGCATATTCAAATTCATAGGAATTGATTATAGATATAATTTAATGAGATTTTATAAAAGAAAAAAATAAGAAAAAGAAAGTGTATTACATATATGAAGTTGATATCACAATACTCATTATTCGACTCTTAGTGCTCAATAGAATACGTCTGATGCTCATTAAAAGTGTGTTAATGCTCATCTAACGAAAACCAAGATTTTCACTGAAATTACGAAAATGCCACCGTTTTTTAGTTGTGATATCAACTTTCTTGTAATAACATGATGCTCATTATTGGACGCTTAATACTCATTAAAATTGAACTATTGCTCATTCACAGTACATTAATGCTCATTTAGCAGAAACCGCGATTTTCACATTAATTTCAAAAATGCCACCGAATTATTTTGCTATTTTTCACTTGGGCCTGTTATTGGGCCGGCTGTACGGTGCTCACCGTACAGCCGGCTGCACCATATACGTACTCATCATTACCCTGCTCAATTTATGTGATTAGATTTATCTGATTAAAATTTATCTGATTAAACTTTATTTGATTAGATTTATCTTATTAAAATTTATCTCATTAAACTTATCTCTTTTAATTTATCTATTTCATTTTATCTGATTAAATTTATCTGATTAAGATTTATTTGATTAAAATTTATTTGATTAAATTTATCTGATTAGATTCATCTGATTAAGATTTATAAGATTAAAATTTATCTGATTAAATTTATCTGAACAAATTTATTTGATTAGATTAATCTGATTAAAATTGAACACGTACATAAATATTATACTTGGATCCAAATATTTGGCTTTTATTGTTCGATCAATAATTTGTAGAAAAAGAAAACGATCTACCTAGTTGGATCTTTTTTTTTAAAGGCCCTAGTTGGATCTACCAATTCCGAAAGGAGGGAAAAGAAATTGAGCAAATCTTCCTAGTCGGATTTACTAATTCCGACAGGAGGTGTTCAATGAAAATATAACTCTAGTCGGAACACGGAATTCCGACTCCCGCAATATATTGGTAATTTCCTCCAATTGGGTGTGCGTGGCAGTTTCCGACGATATATACTTTCTTTAGATTTAATTAAATATTCAAAATATTAATTAAATATAAAACCATTTAAAATTAACTTTGTTTATTTGAAATACTAAATAATTTTCCAACAGCACGTCACTATTAGTCTATTAGGAAACACAAACTTGACATATTCCTGGATTAATTACGAACTCGATCACAAGACTCTTATACACTCATCTGCTAAACAATACTAAAGCATTCTTTGATTGAATTGCTTTATTTAAATTTTTATTGTTTTGTTTATTCTCCTTCAATTCATTATGTTTTGTTTTGCTAATGTGCTCCTCAAGTTATGTGATCCGGTTCCGCCACTCATTAGAGCAACATGTGTACAGTATTTTATACTTGCTATTTAATATGAATGTTTCCGTATCATTTAACAATAATCTCACAAGATTATTCTCCCCCGGCCATAACGTACATTATATTGAAGCTAAGCTAGATAATTAGTTTGGAATACGTACGTTGTTCATTGTTGGATGAACGCATGTTGAAGGAACACACATCGATCACGTACACATTCCTTGCTTCATTGGGATATGATTATTGCTCCAAGAAGCTAGCTAGCTAGTATTTAAGGAAGCGACGATGTGTGTATGTATATATACATATGGTGAGATAATATTGCTCAACCCATCAATTATATTCATATCGATCCATCTGGGCGCTAATCAACATATATGGGTTTGGTGATGAGCCTGATGGGAAAAGGTAGGCCAGTCGTACGTCTACCTTCACTTTTTTTTAGCTTCATTCAACCTCCTCTATACGTACCTACATATCCTAATAACGGTCCATCCATGAACAAATTAAAGTACGTTACAGATCATAAGATGCCCGGTTATGTACCTCCGATCCAACTTTGAACAATGTTTTTCATTGTTACGTGAAATTTATATTTTTTTTATATTTTTATTCAAGTAAATCGAATCGCAAGCATTTTCATATATTTTTTCATATTTGACAATTAGGATGTTTCTACTTGAACTGTAATTTGCTGGTCTGGTCTGCTTTCTTTATATTTTTATAACTATCCAAGTCTGGTCTGATCTGTGATCTGATCGGGACAACTTACGTAAACACATACCCAAAAAAGTTAACATGGTTGTCAAATCTTAATTATGGGATAACACGATAAACAAATATAAAAAAAAAACTTATGGGATATGACGACTAATCACTCATTATTTATTGTTTACAATAGTTATTAGGTACCTAGTTATTATTAGTATTCTAATGTCATTGCAGGGTTTCAAACAACTCAGTTGACGAGTTTGGCGTTGGGAACACTGTACACACGCTTTTACGACAAAGATGTCAAGACCTTTCAGGATTTCCACCTTGCAATTCTTGATATTTTCAAGTAATTATTAAAACTTCAACTAATCCATACCTACTTTAATTATTTTCAAGTCTCTTAAAACTTGTCAACTTTCTTTTCTGTTATCTCACTAACTTTGTCACTTTCTTTCTTTCATAAAGAATTTGTGATTTTAGTTAATTATTCTCTTTCTTCAATTCTGCACAAATATCAACTACACAGTTTTTACTTTATTCATATCCGTGTCGGTCAAACTTGGCCAAAACTATTAGGGCCGGGCCGGGCCGGGCGTCATGTACTAGCTAGCTGCTCTGAATATATAGGAAATAAACTTAAAATGTACTTTCCCTATACATCAACCACTTCATCCCATTTCAATGCAATCATATATTTTCTCATGCATAAAAATTCCCCATTTTTTGTCCCGTACCTATTTTTGGAACACAAATTTTTTTGCTTTCGTTATATTATCGTGGATGAACATCTAAAACAACTACTCCTTATGTCCCAAAAGCAATTTCACTTACACACATTTCTAATTATACCCTACTTTATGCCAAATGTAGTAAAAAGTAGTGAAGTAAAAATAGTTGTGACATTTGTGTTGGAAAGGTTTTTTACGGAAATAGAAATTTTATTTTGGCACACAATATATTAAAGAAGTGGTAAGTTATTTTTGGGGTGGTTCATTTCTAAAGTGAAATATACAAATGAATTTTGAGTGAGGCCATATGACTCGAAGTCATGTGTAACTCCCTAGAATCCCCCCCCCCCCCCCCCCCCCCCCCCCCCCCCAATCCCAAGTGCAATACACATAGTCTTTTGAAAATCACCCAATATATAATATTATACTTCGGGTATGCATGTATATACAGCAACGTGAATGGTGCATTGCCCGGAAAACACTATAATGTGCCAACGGTGAAGGAGATCCAAGCATGTTTTGAAGAGTGGAAAAGTAGAGATGATGAAATAGCCAAGAAGACAGTGTTCATAGATTTCATGAAGACAAGGGTGGACCTTAGCAAGATGGATGACACAACGCTCATCACCGGATTGGTGACGCCCCCGGTGGCCATGGCAGCCAAGAGGGCGGGAGAAAGCGTCCCCCAGCTCAAACTCATTAAAGCCATCCCCGATGTTTTGTTCGTACCGTCCGCCACCGTTCTCGCTCTCGTCTCCGTAAAGCTCTCCCGAAAGATGTTCCTCGGAAACGACGCCTCATCATAAATACTACATTCGTCCCCAAAATAATGTATCACTTTCCTTAATTAGATATCTCAAAATGAGCTTCACATTTATATAAAAATTAACTTTTAAATACAAAATATCGAAATTCCGCTTACTGTGTGACAAAAAGTAAGGATGTCAATGGAAAGTCAATAATCCATCACTTTAATTTTTCACTTAATGTACTTAAGCGAAAGTGAGAAATTGTTTTGATGGATGGATAAATATATAACACAACATTCTTGTTAAAATGCATGCATGTATGCCACTCATTATTCCTTAATTCCTCAAGTATTTCGTACCACGTTCCTACATTCGTACTCACTATTCCTTTGCGCAATCTTAAGTTAAACTACTACGTAGTAGTATTTTTTTTCAAAATCTTATCGATTCATACCCTCAACTAATAAGAATAAAGGAATTTGACCTAGAAAGTATTAAAAAGAATGTAAAATTCAAAACAAGGATACATTGTTTTTATTCCATAAATATGAATAATCACTGACATAGTCTAAAAATACTACTACGTATAAATTATTCTGTATGATATCAATACAACCCAATGTGTGATATAATAAAAAAATGACAATATAATTTTAGGATGACAATAAATTGCTCGTGATTATACGATACAATAAAAACACAGTACTCATATTTTGGAATTTCTTATTATTTTTTCTCTTATTTCAAAAATTTCCTAAATAATAAAGGTACAACAACGTCAACAATCGCCTACCTAATGTACTCTAGAGTAATACTAACCTTATGTGTAAAGAAATTTTCATGAAGTAAACAAAAACTGATTTCCTAAAAGGCTAAAAGTACATGAAATGTAGGGAGTTACGTTATATATAAGCTAGAGTACATTACTCATCATGTAGTTTTAGGCGATTATAACTCCCTCTAGTTCATCATGATTTGTGATAAGAATTTACATATAAGGATTTCAATTGCTTGCGCGCAAATTAGCCGATTTTCTAAAAGCATTACGTGAATTATTGTAAATATTATAACACAATGCAATGTACTACCACTACTACGTATTATAAATGACTGGTGTGCATTTTTCTATTAGGGTTTAGTTACTCTCAATGGTGAGTGCTTGTTTCATTTAATTAATTATGTGTAAAAAGTACTTTATAAATAGAAGAATGATTTGTAACTCATTTATAAATATGCTTTTTCATATTATCCCCATAATAATCATAATAACATTATCTAATTATTGGTTTAAAAATATTCAAGACATTTTTCCAATTTTAAAAGTATTCCAGAATAAGTTAATTATTTTTATAATATGAAAAGCAATAATGATCAATAAAAATGCACTCCGTATAATCTAAAAGCTGAATCTAAGAGGAAAACTAATAGGGCCTACTCAAGATGAAAACATTGAATCTAAGTATTAGGGTATCATTGAGATGTGTAGGGAAATTTAGTCATTTTACACATGTTTTACTCTATTGATTGGCAAAATGTGTGTTATTGATGAACAAAATACCTATAATTAATGACCAATCATTTAAAGCAGTTCTCTGCTGACAATGTCCCTTTACCGAACCAATAAATGAAACATATCAAAATGATCAAATAACCCTCCATATTCATATAAATTTGTGCAGCAAAAGAGGACTCTTCCCAGGAATTTGGGCTAGGTAGGCTCCTAAACTGCTATGAACGAATATGTGTGTGTGTGAGAGAGAGACAGCGCCAATCAAATGATTAGATGTTTCATCTTTGAAACATAGACCGAATGAAACACACTTAAAGTTTATTAACCCCATATGAACAAGACATGTACATATTTCTAGCTACTACCTGTGGGAAAATGCAAATTTAACATTGCTACTCCGTATAATTATAAAAAATAGTCCTATCCCGAAAAAAGCACAGCGGATCTTCAGGTCTTTTGCTCATCCCGCCCCAGTTCAATTCCCGGCCTCTTCCATGTAATTGTTGGCAAATGGCAATTGTTACCTAAGGGAACATTTGTCCTCACACTTCATCACCTCTACCTCTTGGAAGCTTCTGATCTGCTCCTTCGTCTTATGGTCATATATCATGAAAATATCTTCGTTCTGCAACAACAACACTATTAGCTATACAAAAATAACATTACTTAGCGTCATTCAAATCAAGAAAAAGCTGTAGCTGTAGTCTGTAGGTAGTTTATGGGTGCTTCTTTCCAATTCTGGTACCCAGACTCTTGGGTAATTTCCACATTCAGTCCCCGACTCTAATTCATTTCACTTTTGGTCCCTGACTATAACGAAATGATCAACTTTTGTCTTTTGGTCACCCGCTATCACTTTATCCACTTCTAGAGCATCACTTTTAGAGCATGCTTGTGAATTTCTTGCCACTTGTAGTCAAGCATATTCTGAAATTATCATCTCTGTTCTAAACTTTCATCTCTTTTTACTTTTGAAGCACTGTTATTAATTTTGAGAGTATTGTTCCTTTTGTCACTTACCCAGTTACCCGCAAAAATCAACAACACATTATAAGGAAATTGAACGGATAAGTGATTGAAAATATCAACTGGTGAGAAATCCGCGGTTTGAATGAAGTGTATAAAATGATAGAGGCCAAAGTGAGAATTACCTAATAATAGTTGAGGACAAAACGTGAGATATTTTTGGTTATGGATAGACTGATAGAGAGACCTTACATTTACACGAGTACCCACAACAAGGCATTGGTCAGTCAACTCCGACATAGTTTTCCCGTTTTCACAAATGTCACTACAGGGGATGGATAAGCCACCTCGCACACTATATTCTGCCAAAAGCTGAGCCACGATAGCAGGACATCTTTCTGTCATTCTGTCCCTGTCCTCAGGGGGCAAATCAGTAACATTCTGCAAGCTTGTGGTATCGGCGTGAATTATGCCATTCACGCCATTTTCAGTAATATTTTGCAAGCTTGTGGTATCGGCGTTAATTATGCCATTCCCGCCATTTTCAGTAATATTCTGCAAGCTTGTGGTATCGGCGTGAATTATGCCATTCCCGCCATTTTCATTCATTATCTTTTCTAAACCAGCTTTTATCGTGCTAACTCGTGACTGCAAATCCCAAATCTTCCTAAGTCTTTGCTCCATTGGGTTACTCCTGTCCATCAGCTTTATGTTTTGTAATGGTTCCTTGTCAAGGTTCAACTCATTGATGCTTTTCAGCTCCTCGGAGGAAACCAATGCTGTTTGAATAATAAAGCCAATCAGATAATTATTAATGCAAATACCTCAAATAGGGAAAATAAAAACCCATACTTTCATTTTGAAAATAGCCACTTGTCTATTATAGCAGAGTTACATCTAGTCCATCCCATAAAAATAACAGCTCAGTATTATCTATAACTGATATTAAGGCAGCCTTTTCGGCAAAACAGAATCCAGAGAATGCCCTTCATAAACTCTAAACTAAACGGTCTAAGTGGTGATATACTGATATTAATAGGAGATACCAATAATATCTAAATTATAACCACTGAGAAACTGAAAGACATGTGCAACCAGATTCCATAATACCAAAACAACTGGGAGACTAGAAATGTGGTTTACCCTCGCATATAATTGTGCAAATTACTGCTCTATGAAAAGTCGAGCCGCTCAGCTCGAGCAGATGATTCACTCAATATCTCAAATATGGAAAATTGACCTTTATGCATCTTCTTGGGTTGGATGAGAATATGGCTTTGGAGAGAGCAAAGTGCAGGGCGCACATTCGTGGGGACGAGTGATCTCTTTTCTATCTTCTCTCTCTCTCTCTATCTCTCTTTCTTTTAATCCTCTTTATCTTTTTATGTGCTTATATTTTTTATCTTCTAGCTTTTTATGCTCTTTTATCTTTTTATCTTTTATCTTTCTTATGTTCTTATGTTATTGTTATTTTATATTTATTTATCTTTATCTTATCCGTTTTATCTTACTTTTTTTTCCTTCCTTTTCATTCTTCTTGTCTGTCTTCTCTTTTTGGCATTGATATCATGGATCGGTTCATGTTAGCCGACCTCAAAATATTTTGGGATTAAGGCTTGGATGTTGTTGTTGTTGTAGTGCCTCATTTGGCATAATTGACAATTGTGACAAAACTTACCAATTAGTATTGGGTTTATTGGAATTTTGTTGGGCATATAGAATGCCAAGAATGCCCTTTCATAAACTCTAGCATTTAACAGAAGGTTACTTGTATCACAGAATAAACAAATTGAGGGACTAAATTGACAAGAAAAAGGTGTGTCCCAGATTACATAATATCCAGAAGTAACCTTATGGGCACATCTTTCCCATCCCCCACCTGACTTCTCACTGACAATAAAAAAGAACCAAATAGTTCGCTCACCTGGATTGAACTGATGATCAGTCCAGAAAGCACCATCAGCAGGAGACTTTCTATTTTCTGTTGATTAAAAAAACCTTTATCAAGCTCAAGATAGGAATAATCGTTGGCATATGAGCATGACTAATAAAAAATCATATATATACCATAGATAGAAAACAGGTTATGCTTGGACATATACTCTGCAACATTCTGCTTCTCTTCATCTCTCCTCCTCCTCTTTCTCCCATGTACCTGGTTCCTTTGAGGGGTGAAGGGAAACGGGATTGATTTTGAATTAATAATTTCTGGTCCAAAGTTTCCGAATTCAATCTGCTTTCTATCATTGTATTGAGCAAGCTCTTTGTCATACTTTTGTGCTTGAGATTTGAATTTTACAAGTTGCAGCTCTATCCACTTGCACCGCCACATCAGTGATCTTATGAAACCTCTCCACTGAGATGTCACCTTCTTCCTGGAAAATAATAGTTCCAATAATATCATGTATAATGAATCTAAAAAAGATGCAATTCCACCGCCACCCTTTTGTCATCTGTATTATCGTACAATACTTTTAAAGCATTATTAGCTGTAATTTGGTCATATCATAAAACTTCTGAACTTTTAAGTTGAATTTTGAGAAATGACCCCATATATTACTTAACAGTATGTGTGCACACTCATTAAATGATGGTTAAAAGAAAGAGGAGTGTAAAATGTATTTGAGAGCATGGTAGTCAAACAGAAGAAGAGCAACTGCAAAATGTATTCTTTCATATTAATGGTTGGAAAGAAATTTATATCTTGATTTAACTTAACGTATACTCCCCTTCCCTCCCTTCGAAATCCCCCCAACAAACCAAGCCTACTAAGAATCCTTCCATAGGGTTCGATGAACTCATTGGGGTTACTGCAAGGAGTACTTCTCTCAAAGAGAAATTGATCAATTATATAGGTAGTAATAATGTAATACGGATTAT